AGTTTTTGAAACAATTATCCAACAAGATCATATATTATGGACTTCAATAATGAAAACGCATTTTTTATTTTATTCATTTTCAACCAAAAAAATTTACCAAATATTAATAATTTGGGAAGAAACAGTTAAAAAATATATTTTCATTGATTCATTAGTAAACCTTAATTTTATTGAGGAAGAGATTCGATTAAAAATGAAAGCTTATTGATTTAATTTATTTTATATTAGAACATTTAAAAAACTAAAGTAACTTTCGAAGTTGATTATATTAGTAACCAAACCAATTCAATAACTGAAAATGAAAAATTATTTATCCTAATAAAGAATTTTCTTTAAAGAAGAAATAACTTCAAAACTTAATAAAACCAATTCAAGTTATAAGGAATTTATTCTTGAAGCATATTTCTTAATTTTTGGATAAGGAATGGCAGGGTGCAATTGAATATTTATTTATGAGGATTGAAGATATTCAAGAATCCTTCCTCTCCTTCATATTTTTCAAATCCGGGTAATGTTTCATTATTCCTACATGATCTCTTGTAATTTTGTGATGCTACACTAAACCTTTTTGTCGATAAGATATGGATGAACCTTTTATTATGTTATTTTAATATTAATTTCACGATTGACATTTTATGCTAGTTTATCTTGGATGATTCTTGCAATACTTGGATGTTTTTCAATTAATTGATCATTATTTAAATTGGTGTATGATCTTTATTATTCGAGAGAATTAATGAGGAATATAACATGTATAACAATTGTTGTAAGATCCGATAGAGAATAAAAATATACCGCTATGTCTTGCATGATTTAAACGGTTGTTTGTGTGATATAAACACATTTTTTTATGTTCGCATTTATCGGAGGTATAAGAAGTCACATGTGAGAATGTGCTTATTTCTAATCGACATAAATTATTAAACAAATTAGAATTATTGATCAGCAAATATAAACAAGTGTTGTCATAGTCACGAGTTGTATTAAAATGGATTAATAAAGAGGGGGTCAAAATCTTAGTGCATATTTTTAATCAGTTTCATAAACGCTTCCTTAGTGCTAATTAGATTATTTTAGATAAACTCACAGCTTGACTATTCAATTAGAGTTAATATCAATTAGAACTAGATTAAGTACGTAGTTTTCATTGAACGATACTTTACTCACTATTTTATTATTTATTTACGATATCGTGCACTTGCGAATTTTGTCGATTAAAGAGTATATCACATGTATTGTTTATATATATCCAAAGTTGTCACTTGTTGAAGATAAAATTGTAAAAGTTTGTCACTACCCTCTATACATATCAACATGCCGTGATTTATTTGAACGTCATGTGTCTATCGTAACATTTAAGGAATTGTTATTTAAATGATTGGAATATTGGTTGAGACATTTCAAGAAACGACACTATGATAGGAGTAAATACATGTTGTACTCCTTTTATTTTTGCCTTATATTTTGTCATGCTGAATTTTCCCAACAAATTTTTAGTGAGATATCTATCTATGCATATCGGAAAGAATGATGCATGCTTTATTTCTTTTTTCACTAATCTTGTCAACTATGTTGTTACGCCTCTATTAACAAGACTTCACATCACCTCCACATGGTAACCAGCTAGCAAGTCAACCAGGAATACACTCTACATCACCATCCTACTTGACCAAGGTGGGACCATAGTCGAGGTGATGCACCACTTCTCCGAGTTCCTAGGAAGGTCCACTCTCCAAGGTCGAGATGAGGTGCCACGTTTGCTGCACGAAGAAGTCCGAGGCTATTAGTCTCCTAATTGATAGAATACATCTTCTCCATCATGTATTCCGTACAAGATCCGCCCGCGAATGATTGATATAACATCTTTGCAGCATGCACCTAGAGATTAAACTATCATTCTACTATCTATACGTCAGACCTAAGCACTAGGATGACAAGTTTTCATAAACATTAAATGCTACATAGGCCTATAATATATGAATTGACAGCTAGGAGATGACACTTGGATCATTAGGATGAGATCACGTGTCTTCCTATCTAATGATCAATATCACACCTCTTATACTATAAAAGCTCACATATTATATCATTTGAAGGCAATGCAATTTTAGACTTTGAAAGTTATAAGTTCACTCTCAATATATTCACCTCATACCCTCTCAGATCCGACCTCTTTATTCTTAGTGGTTCAAGTCTTTATCACGTCCCACCACAGGAGCATGACACGTGCAACTTACGATTTGTCCAAATGTACGTGAACGTGAGATGAGTCAAGATCTATTAGTCATCTCCCCTTAAAAAAAAAAAGAAAAGAAAATAACGAAGTCAACATACATTTTTTCATAATAAAGTTTTAGCAGAAATATTTCTTGAAATTGATGTCGAATGGGAATTGTTATGAATGAATTACAAATTTTCAAGATGGATGAACTTTATTGAAAAATGTGTGATATTTCGAAAATAATCCTTTAATTTTTTGACAATGAGTCACATATTTTGACAATTATGATTTAAAAAAATTAAAACTAGATTAGAAATATATTTTTAAATAACCCCAATCTTACTATTTAAACAAAAAAAAGGACTTTTAATCACTCCTCTACTTTTACAAGGCCATTACAGGATTTTCAAAAAATAAAAGGCCATTTTCAATAATTCCTCACAAATAAATTAATAACACAAATCATTAAAAACCCCCATTACACAGAGAGACGAGAAAAAGTAACTCGAAATGGCATCGGCGATTGTGAGATCTGGCCTCAGCTCCGCCATCCGCAGAGGCGCATCTGTTCCACGCGTCTCTCCTGCTTCCAAACGGACCTTCGCTTCCCATGGCCATCACGATGAAGCTGGTACATAATAAAATTAAAATAACAGTTAGTTTAGGAAAATAATTTGCTGTCGATCATTTTTATGCTTATACTGGTTGTTTTCTGCGTTTATATGTTAATAATCTAGACTTTATTATATCATATATCCGATTTTCATTCTGTATTCCCGGTTCAGGGTTTTCAGTTACGTTGTAAAGGAATGATTTTATAACTATATGTGTGAATCAACCGCTGGGATGTGATTGAAAATTCATTTTTCCAGATTATTATTTTTAAGTTTTTCGGTATTCCTGTCTAGGTTATCATTACATTTCAGTTATACGTAGTCTCTATACAGTTTTAAAGGATTGATTTTGAGAATGTATTGACGATTCAACTTCGGGGATGCATTTGATTTCCAGACTTTAGTTACATGTTAGTTTTTATTTTTTTGGTGCGTGTGTAATGTAGCTGAGGCTGCGAAGTGGGAGAAGATAACATATCTAGGTATCGCAACTTGCACTATTCTTACAGTCATTAACCTATCCAAGGGTCATCCTCACCATGAGGAGCCTCCTGTAAGTTTCTTTATCTCTTTCTTTGCTTTACTGGTTTGAAACCCATTGTTTTATTTTGTTTAGAAATGGGTTGATCATTTTCATTTTGTGTGCAGCCGTACCCGTACTTGCACATCCGTAACAAAGAATTCCCCTGGGGTAAGTTTTTAGTACAGTAATGTTTCTGTGGCCTGCACAAGCTTTCATTCATTACAGAGTATTCTTGTGTTTGTATTTTCTCGGTATTGACAAGTGTATATTTTGCTTTGACTGTTATTCCTGGCTGTAAGTATGATAAAAAAATCCCCGTCATTTTTTTAAAAATTATTCTTATTATTCTCGTCTTTGTTATACTAAAAACCTGGAAAACGATCCGCTTCTCAATGATTTTCTACCTTATGTGACATTATTGCGGGATGCTTGGTCCAAGATACCCAAATTGTAGTTTATTGTATTTGTATTGTTAAAATGGTGACAATTGTTGTATAATTTGTGCAACAACATTTTGTAATGATGCATACATACAAGTTTGATTTTCTCTAAAACTTAACAAAGATCAAGCAACATTAAAAAGTATTGCTGCAAGTAATTGTGATATGCATGCGTGCAATCCAGCTATTAATTGATAGTTGTTTGTTTATGTCCACCATTACATCTGCAGATTTTGTTTGCCAGCCTTCAGAGATTTCCATTTGGTTTTATCTTGGCTGCAAGGGTTGCAACTGTGCAATGTATCCCTTGTTTGAATAATGGAGCCTCGAACTGGAGACTGTCTTTGTGTAGTGTTAATTCACCATATCATAGTTATCGATGGCCATGTTGCATTAAGGATGACAAGTTCGATTCGACCAAAACCATAACCGTACCACCAAATTTTTAGGCATATCATAACCGCACCATAACCATGTAAGTCGGTTTAGTTCAGCTCGGTTCAATTCGGTTCGGTTAATAACCACGAAAATAAATTATTTTTTATAAGTCCAAATTCCAACCGTCAAATTGAAAAAAGAAACTATGAAGAAAAGTCAGTAAAAATAAAATCACAATACTAAGCCAATTTAACAAACAATGTCTCAAATGAAAATACAAACAATATCTCAACTTTCAAATGCAAAATTCGAATTTAACAAACAATATTATCAACATATGTCAAGACTCTTACTAGCATAGGTCAATTTTCATTCTTCTCCACAACTTTTACTAGCATAAGTCAAGACTCACTGT